TAGTATATATATATATATATATATATATATATTACGGTACATAAAATAAATTATCACCCTTGTCGAGTTGGCGACGACCCGAACTGATGACCCATTGCCACTCTTAAATTTATTAGCCCCATAAATTTTTTATAGGGAAATTATTAAAAATATATCATAATGTTTGTTTAATTGGAAAAAAACTTTTAATTTTCATAAATAATGTCCACACATTTTTTTATCAATTTTGAGTTTTTTTTTTACCAAAATAGATTTAATGGTAGTCGTATTATCATGGAGCCTTTGTCAAGTACTGTTTATTAATACTATTATTATAAAGGTTATTTTGGTAAAAAAAATATAAAAATTGAAAAAAAAAAAAATGTGGACTAGATTTATTAAAGTTGAAATTTTTTTTTCGATTAAATAGAAATTAAGATATATATTTCTGATAATTTTCAAAAAAAAACTTTTTATACAATTGAACAATTGTTCCAATGACAGTCGGGTCCTCAATAATTGTTCTTTTTCCCTACGTTTATAAGGTGCCTTAAGCTGGGTAAAATTGTCTTTAATTGGAAATGTATGGGCTAATCTAAACACTTTATTTTTCATTCTATAAGGCACTTTCTCTGTGTATCGTTGATGCAAAGGGGTACACCGATCGCCAAAATGGCCGGGATTCTGGGGCGGAGTGTTTCTCATCGGGTTTTGCGTTCCGGCGAAATTATCCGGCGAAGATTTTTCTCCTCGGACGCTCTCGTCAAGATCAAATCGGGCGAAATCGGTATGGTTTCAGGAATTCCAGAAGAACACCTTAACCGAAGGGTACGATGTACCTCCTTTTCTCTCTCATATCCTTCATGGTTCAAATTCTATTGGTGATAAGTTTCTCTCTCTGCATCCATTCCTCGCACTCGATGGCTTCAATGGTTATGCTATATAATTTGATGAGAGAGGGTGCTCTTTCATTTTAATTCATCCCGTCTGACCTGTTTGATCTGTTTTTTAGGCGGAAGATAGTTTCTCGTCATAGATTATGGTAGTGATATGTGTTAGGAGTCTGGTTGTTGGTGTATATTTTGTTTTATTTGGACGATTTTTTAAATTGGTGAATTGGATGTATTTGTTTGAGGGTTTTCAGGTATTTTTTTGATGGGTGGAGAATGGGAAAATGTCTTATTTAATTGAAACTTCTTGAAATTTCCGCCTGTACTTTGTCGTGATTAAGGAAATTCTGGAAAGATTACTTTGAGAGACATCCTGAAATTCCCCTCTGTTTCTAACTGAGTATAGTATTCGAATGAAAGCTTTCTAGGTCTATGGTGATAGAAAAATAAAATTGACGCTCGGCATTGATAATAAGAAAATTGCAGTAGAATATTGCCAGCATAAAGGAGTGTTAGCCCCTATGAAGTCTTAAATGGTTCCAATAATAGAGAGAATGCCAATTGACTTCTTCTTTCCCAACCTGTGGGATGCCTTTTCCCATCTCTCATAGGATGCTTTTGTAAACATATGTACACAGTAATATATTGTCAGAAAATAGAGAGAATGGCATCATTAGTTGGGCATTGTTGTTGTAAAAACAGTCCTTTATAGTTGCAAATTGCATAGGGGATCACATGATGTAAACTGTGTTTCTTAAGTTGAATACTATATAGTCAATTTTGCTAAAAAAAGGAAGAGACTTGGTTCCTTAGTGCATGAGTGAGAGGTTTTTCCTCACTGGGTAGTGCCAGTATTGCGTAGATGTCGGCACTGTCATTATCTCATACAGGGCGAGAACTTTCTGATGCTTAACCCTGGAATGTGCCCTACTTTTCAATTGTAAAAACAAAAACAAGTTCCCTTCATATGCCAACCTTTTTCTCTTCTAGATACCTCTATTGCCACGTGCCTAACAGGCTGATACTTAGGAAGTGAGATATACTTACATCATAGAAAGTTTGGTGCCTCCAACTGCCTGTTGCACTTATTGATTCATTCAGCTTACACTTAAAGCATTTGCATGAGACTTTTTAAATGGTGTTCATTTGCATTTCTGTAGCTATACTTTTTGACGTGACATTAAATCAAAGATTAAGGCAAGACTGGGGAGGGTAGTATACTTCTGGTATGATTCACCAAAGCTCACAGGATATCTCATTATGGCTCGGGATATGATTCACCAAGTTTCATAAGTGACACTGTGAGACTTGTGACATATTGTAAGGTTTATGCATTTTAACTGAAATACAGTTACCCTTCAAAAGAGAAACTGGAAGTCACTGCGTTTCTTTCAAATTTTATGTGAATAGCACCGCATGAATCCGAAAGTGAACTATGGTGTATAGGAGGAGCACTTATAAGAAGTGTTAGATTTAGCTATGAGAAAAGTATGTTATTGTTTATGCTTATTTTTGTCCTCGATATTAATATTGATATTAAATCTTTATTCTAACCAGATGAATTATACAATATTTTAATACTTATGTGGGAAATACAGTTTAATCATTGTTTTACCATGTATCAATATGGAACATAATGCTTTCCTAACTATAGTTGATGCTAAATTTACATATAGATTTGAAACTCCAATTAATAAAAATGGCAATCAATTTGGTAAACCTTTTTTTTTTGGGGGGCATAGTAATCAATTTAGTAAAGTGCACTAGGTTTAGTGCCATTGTTGGCTTGATCGTGTACGTGATGAAACTAGATCCACTCTATAGACTTGAGTAATGTTTGTGCTTTCAAATGTTCTACAACCAATATGAGCTTGTAAGATCTTGTCGAAGCTTTGATTTTAAATTCCAAGCACCAATAAGGGTTAAGTTTTTCTTCTTAACCTTTAATATCAACATGCTTCTTTTGCTTGGAGGCTCTTGAACTTGGAACTCATCATATTTATAGCATTTTTGCTTAACTTATTCTCTTTGAGTTCTTCCCATTGATTTATGGCAATTATACGAGAAGGGTCTATTCTCTTCTTCCAGATATGTATAGTATCTTTAAGTATTTGAATTTTCATGTATTTTATTTTGTTCCATATTTTTGATAAATAAGATTTCATTGAAGCTGGAATAAGTATCCGTCAAGATGCACTCATAAGAGTTCATACAAACAGATACATATACAATATAGAAACAAGGAAAACGGAAAGGAACAAATATGAAAAAGATATGGAGAATAGAAGGGGAAGGCAAGAGGGGTTGAAGAAGGGGGTATGGAATGCCAATGGTCCTGAACATCTAAAGAGCTCAAACTTGCTGCCTTTGCAGTGTTATTGTATACTGTTGGTTTCTCTGTAAATGTGTGTGAAAGTGCACTTATTAGATCCTCTCAACCCAATGATCTCTTCAACGATATCTGCCGAGTACCATGAAAATATAACTCCCTTCTTGCCCATTGGATGAGATTGGGAGAATCACACTTGCCTGTAAGAGGCATAGAGAAGGAAATTTTTCTATAAAGTGTTTGAGAACTTGCTAAATGGGTCTCGGACTCACCCGAGTCACTTAGATCCTGCAAGGTATTGGGTCCGATTGAAAAACTTTGGGAATCGTCGGAGTATCATTGGTTCTCGAGGTTATTGTGTTAATTTTTCATAGACTTGACCAAGCTGAACTGGTTGTCTTGGCCTTAGGCCCTGTTCTGTTCCGAGCTCGAGGTTGTGTTTTCGTCGTTGCTTATAAAGCTTCAAACCTGTGAGGGGTGCAGACTCGGTTGGATTCCTATATCCCTATGGGACCCAAGAATGATGTCCTTTTATGTCGAGTGTGGTCAGTTTATGATGCATGACCAATAGCTGTTGGTCCGGCAAGGATTGCTTAAGGAACTATAATCAAAGTTAAAACTTCATGGCCTCAAGCGAGGTCACCATCTAGTATGTGCTTTGACCAAGGCAATGGTAAGGCACCACTGCCAAGTCAATGATAAAGTCCTCAAACTTGTTATCTCAAAAATAGGGCAAAGCTGGGCTTGAGAAATGACATCACAATTTTGTTGCTCAGGATGGTATGGTGTGCCTTTGGTATTTTGTTCCAGAGTTACCATTATGATTGTTGGAAAACTGCTAAAGTTGACAACCCTTCCAACGGTGACCAAGGCCTTCAGCAATGAATGCATGACCTAATTTGTTTAAAATATTCCCAAGTAATAACTTCCTACTTGTCACTCAAAGAGGCAATATAGGAGGCGGTGGTCCACTGTCTCCTGTGCTCTACAACATAAATAGCTTGGGGAATTGAATGCCTCGGCCAGTGATTTAAAAAGCGGACCGACCAGCGCCTGGGTGGCCACCTGTCCAGAAGGCCTGACCGCATCGCCCAGGCCTGGGTGGCAAAAAAAGGTGGAAATCCCTAAGTGCCCGCTTAGGCGCCAGGGTACTCGCCTAGGCGGGCGCGCCCAGCCGTGGGCGGTCACTCAGGGCTTGCCCCCCGGCCAGAGGCAGAAAAGCCACTCGCTGGGGGCATTTTTTGTCATTTTTTTTAATACTAAAGGGGCAAAAATGTGGGTTTTAGGTTCATTTGATTGTGGAGTGTGGATTGTGGACTATCAATCTGACTATAGATAATTCATAATTGTATATAGACTTATGGTTATGGTCTTATGGAGTGTGTGCTCCTATATGTTGTGTAGTATACTTTTTGAAGTTTGATGTGCCCTAAATCCCTAATTCTTATGTTTTATACAATTATATTTATACTGTTAGAGACTATAGAGACATTTTTCTTTATACTGGGATGCCCAGTTTTGGGCGCCCGCCTAGGCGTTGGTTGAAATATTGGCCTCGGCCGTGAAGATGGTCATGAAACACAATTTTGTCTTAGGTGGCTAGTCGCCCATAGGTAAGTGTTCTAAGTGAAGACATAATAAACTAAATGAATCTCACATGATGACACCATTGTTATCATATATGGGATGCGGACTCGATGTGGTTCGGGGTCCGATCCGGGATGTGGTTCGATGTGGACATTGTCGTCCCGAGGTGGGTGCATCACATGTATTCTTGTCAATAAATTTAAAAAATTAGAAAAATCATAAAAATATAAAAAAAGCATAGAAAAATGACAATGTATATTTTTGTGTGCTATAAATTTTAATTTAATATTTTTCTCCAATATATTAGCTGTTTGGGTCGCTTGATTCCCTGATAATTTGATAAGAAGTAACTCAGTAAACAAATCCATTCCATCCTAATTGTAATGACAATTAACAATTTAGCATAATATCCAAATACCAGAAATACTTCACATTCACAATCACAAGTTTATGAGCACAACCTCACATGCATAACCTAACGTAACTTAAAAACTCCAAAGACCAAAAATTCATAAACATATAAAATGTAAAAATGCGAATCCCAATGAGTCAATTCGCGATAATTGGGGCAAGATGTTGTCTTTGCTGGAAAATTTCCGCCGGTGTATGTTTTCTGAAATAACATACAAAACCACTATTTCGATCCTTTGGATTGGCAAGTCTCGAGTAATTCCATACTGGATCTTTGTTGCTTGATGAAGAAGAAGACATTGTTCCAAAAACCAAAAAAAATAAAAATAATAGGAAACAAAATTCAAGAAAAATGATGATCCAAAGTTCCAAACCATAAATCGAAAGAAATTTCGGTTTCTTGGATTCAATCTCCTAGGCCTTGAGTCCTAGTACTTGTTGGGTCTTCACCATATAACCTTTGAAATGGAGCACCAAAACAATATCAATCAATTTACCAAAGATTCAAGAACAAATCCCAATCTCTTTTTCAAAAAAATTTCGAATCTTTTTTTTTTTGAACCCCCCTAGATCCTTGGAAATATGGTTCTATTTTTTTTTGTTTTTTGAAGGGGGGGGGGGTGGGTGGGTGGGTGACTGTTATGTGTTGCTCGTGGGTGAAATTTCTGCCCATGGGAACTCGCCCATTGTGATGTGGTCGCATATGCAGCAGCATCAGTCGTCATCTCGAAAACCTGCATAGGCGTGTGTGTGTGTGTGATATGACCATGCATAACGCATCATACACATTGTGTGGCCGCATAATGGCTTATGTAGCCCTCATATGAGTTATACAGCCACATTTGATAACAATGGATGGCATAGGAATGTGTACTAGTGAGATGCCAACTTGATCCTGAATTCCTAACAGCTCCCTTATAATTTTCAATTGGATCTTCATATTTTGATTCTTCTCTATTCTTAATTCGTGTTTGCATTGCTAGATCACCCTCTATCCCCTCTGATTAGAGCGATCTTGGACTAATATAGAGGGGTCATGGGCCAACCAGGCAATCCACGAAAAGCGTGACTGTAGCAGGGTATCTCTAGCAGTGTTATCCTGACACTCTGAATGGGGTATGGTGTTGCGTTCAGCACGTATCGACACTTAGACATAGTCGACACTTGAAGACATGGCCCTAAAACATGACTATTCATTTTGGGTCACTTCATCAATTATTAGTACGGTGTCAACACTTTAAATATAAGTGTCTTCCTTTTTATGTCATAAAATAGGTAGGGTTCTACATGGTAAATGAGCTATGTATCGTTCACCGGGGTTCAATTCTCATTCCTAGCAACCTTTTCCCTTTGTGCCTCAAAATTTTAATTATATGAAGAGCTTGTTGCATGAATGGAACCCCGTCCAACTCTACACCTTGCGTCATTCCTACCATCATGGCATAACTGCTTGCATATATGAAAGGAAAGTAAAATTATAGACAATGTTACATGGAAACCGACACGGGTATTGGTGTTCATGTGTCATAAGTGTCTAGTGCATCCATCTAAAAAGTTAGTACAAATAGACACATTCATGCATTTAATGTGCATAAATAAAATAATTTATTTTAATTAATATATTATATTGTTTTCCAATTTATGACAACAATTGCGTGAATGGAAAGGTGCTAGTGCTCATGACATTGAGCTCACAAGGAGGTAGGAGTTCCACTTCCAATATTGATTTGAGCATGTTGTAACAACTAACGAGATATTATATTAATATATAATATTATTTTTCCTTTCATTACATACAAGCAGTGAATGCATGATGTTAGGAGTAACGGACCGTAGAGAATTGGACGTTCATTCCTACTAGAAGCTCTTTTATGTAATTGAAATTTGGGAAAAATTCATATACCCCTCTCTATTATTTTAATCTCATATACACCCTGAGGTACATGGAAAGCCCATGGACCTCTTCCAAGTTAAGAAAAAGAAGTTTGACTCCCGTATTTCCTTTTCTATTGTCCAAATTACAACATATAGCATTCTTTTTTCTAATAACCCCAGCTTAAGCATGGGCTCAGAGCTCGGTGGTGAGGGTGGTGGATCTCCACAACACGACGTCTTGAATTCTATTTGTACCATGGGTAGGGGATCCAATTCCCACTGAACTACCCAACCCGTCCCCCGTCCCCCCCTCCCCCCCCCTTTACCCCCCCAAAAAAAAAAACGAAAAAAAGAAAAAAGAAAAAAAAAACAATAGTACAAATGGATTTTGGGATGCTACGTTTAACCTACTTGTAAGGTATGAGATGACAGAGAGAGATGGGGTTTCAAGGGAGGTTGAGAGAGAGAGAGGGGGGGAGAGAGGGAGGGGATGAAGAGCTTCATGGGCAAGGAAGAAAGAGAGAGGGGAACTTTTCTATGGTTTGGATGGGAGGGTCATTAGAAACAATGAAAAGGATAAATATTGTAATTTGAACAATAAGAAAGGTATAGAGGGGGTTAAACATCATTTTCTTTTAACTTGGAGGAGGTCAATGGGCTTTTCATAGACTTGGGGGTTTATTTGAGATTATAATCGTAGAGAGGGGAGTATATGTTTTTTTCCCCTTACAATTTTGAAGCGGGAAGGAAAAAGGTTGCTATCCGTGGGTCTTGGATCCCAGCCTTGGTGAAGGATATGATGTAAACCTTTACCATTTTTATGATGTAAAAATGAAGACATTTCTATTAAAAACATCGACTCCATACTAGTAATTGATGATCTTACCCAACATGTATGGTCACATGGTGGGGCCGTGTCATCAAGTGTCGACGTGGGTTGGGAAACTACACCAGGTTGGTAACACTGATTATATATTAATGTGATATCTTCTTATTTATTAAAACATGCTCATATTAAGATTCAAACTCCTTCCACCTAGGTGTGAGCTCAATAGCCCCTGCTCTACGACATCTCCTAAGGTTTGCTAGGCAGCATTCGGCAACAGCTTCTAAATCTCTATACTTACTTTACACTTCATACTAAATATGAATCTATTCACGCAATTGTTGTCTTAAATTGAAAACTATTATTATACATTGATTAAAATACATTATTTTATCTATTTTATAATGAATAAATATATAAATATGTCTATCTATACTAACTTTTTAGATGGACGTACTAGACACTTATGACACTTATAAAGTGTTGGTGTCCATGTAACACTGATCCCCAGTCTACGTATTAAGCAAAAACCTCACCCTCTCCTCATTGCCAACCTTAACCTGATACCCTCTTGAAATAGGTACTGCACAATAGGTGCCTCACAATACAAATGCTTCTCCACACCCCCGACGTCTTCGTGATCTATCCTGTGCCCTCACTGCCAACCTATCCATCCCCTTCTGTACTTTTCCATAAGGGATCTCACCTAAAGACTTCCTTCCTCTGTGGCACTCCTCCATAGCCATTTTTGTAGGTGACTTGGTTTTTTGGCCTCTTTGTGTAATCTTCTAATTCCCATAGCCTCTCACTCCTCGAGCCTTGCACACATCTTCGTGCTTGACCGAATGATATTTCCTCTCCCAATTGTTTCTCTTGTCAGAGGAAATTCTGTGAATCTCACTAATCTGTCAGAATCACTAAAGGGATCTGGAACAATGACATAAATAAATAGAAAATAATACTTAGGCTGGATTTGATGAATGTGATTCTACATCGAAGGACTTTGTGCATTTTGGGCCCACTGCTTTTTGTTCCTTGTCCTTAATCATGCCTTTAGATTATCTTCTGCTCCACATTTCATTCATAGGGTTAAAAGAGTTGTATGGGCTTGGAAGTGCTGCTTCTCCCCCAACACCATACTCTTAATGTTGGAGAAAGAAACCTAAGAGGATCAAGAGAAAGAAATAGCTTACATAATAACAATTTCCATGAACCATATGGGACCAATGCTATGCTTCAATCTTATTGTGGTGGCAAATTATGCTTTTTTAACTGTAATTTTTATCCAACTATTATGAGCTGCTTTAAACCTTGTTTAGGATGGACATCAATAATGTGCAACGATATCAATCTATTGAATATGAAAACGGGGTTGCTGCAGTGAGCTGCCTTAAACACTCATATTTGCTGCTTCAAATCAGGCCATGGACATCATTGAACTGCATCGCTATTAATCTATTGTTTATCGGTTTGGGCTTGCAGAGAGACGAACCACATTAACAGTTGTGGTGAACCCTCAAAGAGGAAAGAGCGTATGGAAAAAGGGGAGATACTTAGGGGACCAAGGGTGAGCTTTTGTTGAGGGAGGGAATGGCTTGATATGTCAAACATGTTGTCATGCCATATTTAAGAATAATAACGTTTATTTTGTGGGACACTTTTTTAACCATGCTGGCTGGAGGTGTATGTATTGCTTTTTGGCTACAGTTTTGAAAATGTAAGTTATGCCCCACAGAATACATCAATTGATAACTTTTAAAGATGAATATTGTGATATATATTAATAAAAGGAAGATAAAGCACTTAGCAACAGCCTGAAAAGTAAACTGTGCCTAAATACATGGAGTATTTCAGTTTTTTTTTTTTGGAGCAAAACTACATGAGTATGTGCTGCTTGGAATGCTGTAATAGTGGAGTATGTAGTCATCTGTTGAATAAAATTAATTGAATATCTGCTATGTACACTTTTCTGTGATCAACCTTATGGTGTGGATTGTTCTAGAATTTCACAATTATATCCACTTAGTGTGAGGTTTGAACAAGTATTTGACTTATTTTTAATGGAGGCTGAAATTAGGGATAATTCGTGCTTATTGGTATCCAGTTCCTATCCAGGGAGTTCTGTATTAAGATTCTTATGGTTCTCTACATTTTCTTGTGTTTATTAGAAGGATTTGTATACAATGAGCGCATCAAAGTTTCTTGCGCCACTTTGACAGCACCTAGCTGTCGAGTCCCTTGTTGGCATTGGATTGCAGGAGTCATGTTACCGAATGATGACTGTTAGGAAAATTCGAAAAATCTGTTTACATGCTCGTCGTGTTGCCAAATGGAGTCTTCATCGTTCTTAATATTCGAGGTTGATTGGGAACTTCTCAGTTTTGTTTGAGACACAGCTTTTATACTCCTGTTCAAGTAAGGGAAATATTTTTAAACCGGACACCTCAGTTCTCCTTGTATATCGTATCTTATCTTCCTTGGTGATGTGGGTACTTTGTCTTCAGAGAGGCAACAACTTCAAAATGCGAGAATGGGTTATTATATTTTCTTGATTCATCTTTGAATTGCTATTTATCTTTGATAGGTTTTAATATACTCACCAGCTCGAACGGCATCACAGCAAGGGTCCGGAAAAGTTGGGAAGTGGAAAATCAATTTTCTCTCGACACAGAAGTATTGTCCTCTATCATCCCTTCATTCGTTTTTTAAAACTAATCTTTTGCGTTTCAACATGGAAGAAGAATCATTTTTGAACAAGCAATCAATTGTCAGTTTTTAGTTATGCTCCCTTGTGTAGGCACTCCCAGTACTTCATTTGAGAAATTTTTCTCTTTTGGCCAAATTGTTTTTTCTCACATAGGCTTAGTAGTAGTTTTGGACTTTGTTCTAGATTCTCTTAAGAAAATTCTTCTTTTTTTTTTTCTTTGGTTGTTGACAAGGTTTGGAACTTGGACGTTGTGCTATGAAAACCTAGCTTTATCTTTTTTATCTTTTATTTTATATTTTATATAGGTGGGAGAATCCACTGATGGGCTGGACATCTACTGGGGACCCCTATGCAAATGTTGGTGATGCAGCGTTGTACTTTGACAGCGAAGAGGCTGCTAAGGCCTTTGCTGAAAAACATGGTTGGGATTACGAGGTACAAAATTCTAAGCCCTTATTGCTTCAACTTGCATCTTTTTGTAATGTTTGGAACCAAAAACTGGCATTTTTTAAACCCTATAGCGAGCAAAACATGCACTTTTTGGTATTAGGTTTCTTGTAGGAAAACAAATTGCATTCTGTGTTTAATTGCTTCTGATCTGAGCTCTTTGCTCTAACCAAAAACTGGCATTTTTTAAACCCTATAGCGAGCAAAACATGCACTTTTTGGTATTAGGTTTCTTGTAGGAAAACAAATTGCATTGTGTTTAATTGCTTCTGATCTGAGCTCTTTGCTCCTGTTTTGACACAGGTCAGAAAGCGTCACACACCGCTTCTCAGGGTCTGTGATTTCTTCTCTACAATACCTTTATGTCACAAGTTGTTTATATTGTATACGTTATTGACCATCAATTTGTTCAGGGAGCAATTCGACCACACACGTTCTTAGTTATCCACCCAACACTCAGTGATCCCAATCGATTTGGGCCCTGTGCTCTGGGAGCAAGGATCATAAGTAGCAGGTGGATAATTAAGAAAGTGAATGGCGTGCTTCCTTTTGTTTGTTGTTGCGATAGTTTTATGAATATAGAACACGATCGATAATCTCAAGATTTCATATCAAAAGATCTTCCTTAAGTAGAATGTTGATATAAATATTTATTTGAATTGATCTTCTCCAACCTTCCCTTTTAGTTAGGTATGCTTCTTTGTTTGTTATTGTTTTGTGATAGATTGAACCCTTCCACCTTTTACTCCTACAAAATCAATTTAAAGAAAATAATGTCGACAATTTTTCAGTAAAGCTTTTATTTTGAGTGTTGAATTGTGGCTAATGACCATTGGATTACTTTATTGTCAGCCGAAGGCTTATTCTGACAATTTTAAGTGGAAAGGCCCTCCCATGTCTGAGCCTGAGTGACTCCATTTTCGATTGTTTTCACTTTTCACTTCCTGGGTGGCGCTCAGGGAGAGAGGATCATGGGAAGCCCCAGTTCTGATTATGGTACCATTTCCTTGGTTTTTTGAGATGTAATCCTTGACCGTGATTTCGGGTTCTCCGTTATAGTTTCCATTTCTGTACTGAGAAACTTCTCAATGTAAGAACAAGATCAACACTTTCTTAATGAAATAAACTGGGGTTTTCATTTGTCACCTTTATGGTTTTCTTGTCTATGTACATTGAGATCAACTTATTTGATTGATAAAGACTTCTCAAACTAATTCGGCCAAAAAAACAAAAGACTTCTCAAACTAGGAAAATATTTTTAGTTACCTCCAGTGGGCTTTCTTATCTTTGCATGTGGATGTAATCTGAGAATTTGCATATTTGATTGGTTCTTTGACATGAAATTATACCCATGAGTTGCTGGTTCTCCTTCGATCATATTTTCCATTGGTGTCTCCGTATCGAAGCTTCTCCATGCAAAGATTTTGTCACTTTCTTAAGATAAACTGAGGTTTTCTCTTTGTTACCATCACGAGTTCTTGTAATTATTTACACAGAGATAGTACGAGGCTTTACATATTTGCTATCACAAGCAGCATCGCCGGTGAGAAATCTCCATGCAAACACATAATCCTTGGAATCACAGGAAAGTCTTATGACTCTACCAGGGGCCTTCACTAAGGTCCTCTGGCCTTTGTTCGCCCACTCGATCTTTACCCTGCATGTAAAAGCATTAGAAGAAATTGGAACCAGAGAATCTTCTAAAATGAGCATGACTTCACCATTGATTCTTGTGGGCTCTTCTGGTTTTTTTCTCTGACTAGAAAGTGTTGATTCGAGCCATGAACACTCTGGTTGACCCACCATCTTCTTGTATGCCGAGTTCGCCAATCTCACCTTGTTATTTGCATCGGAAATAACCCCAGGCAAAGCTTCCAATTCGAGTTCTTCTTCAACCTCCACTGATTTTTTAGACATGGAGAGAGAGGAGCTGAAATGGTTACAGTCACTGATGCACTCCACGCTAATGCTAGAACCCACTGGTCTCACAGGCTGGGGAGTTATAACCCCTGAAAAAGGAACTGAACTTGTAGTTGGAAGCTTGCATGTTATGGGTGCCTGAAGTTTCTCCATAACCAGCTTTCCTTCTGGCATTCTTTGGTCATAATTCATGGCTTCCTCTGGGATTGATTGAGAGACAACAGAAGTGGAAGGAAAGGGCAACAATGGTAGTGTGACTAAATCTGTAGAAACTCTGCTTGAATTCTCCAAGTCTCCTTGAGAAACAGTGGCCGGAAAGGTGTAGAGAGGGAAACCTCGGGTGAGACCTTGGAAAGGAAGACCGAGGAGAATGTTCTGATGGGAAAATGGAGAAATGGGTTCAGGGAGTGGTGTATTGAAGAACCACATATTGGTCTTTGCCTTCTTTCTAGCACCACATGCTTGAGCGCCATTTCTCCTCTTTCTAACCCTTGCAGGCCTGGTTTTGGGATGGGAAGCTGGTAAGGTTGTAGAGAGAGCGGCAGTGAGTGGATTCTCAGAAAGTGGTGCTGTGCAATCAAAATTAGGGCTGGGGCTTTGCTGGAACTGTGGCTTTGGCGCAATGGGCCTGTACCTTGACATGATCTGCTCAGTCTTAGAGGGGGTGAACATGTTAAGGGGATTCACTATGGCTGCTGTGTTCTCCGGTCTGAGACCCATGATCTGCGCATGCAAGTACTGCATCTGCAGGTGCATGTGCATGTGCTGGAATTGGACGAAACAAGAGACAGAAAACGAACGAGGGGAGAGATATCGATGAGCAGAAGAAGATACTGGTGTACTATGGATGATCTGGTTGGCACTGTACTGATTTGAAGGCAAAAGAGAGAGTAAATGAGAGGAGATAGAAATTGAGAGAGAAGATGCTGGAATTGGGAAAGATCAAGTTTAGTATTGCAGTATTTTGTAGGAAGAAAGTAAGAAAATGGGTTTTGAGTCGATGATTCAAGAGGGTATACATAGAAAACATATGTGATGTGCATGTAGCAAGCTTGTAAGAAGTTCTTTTCTTTTAGAGAGAGAGAGAGAGAGAGAGAGACGGTACCGTTGGGATGAGAGAGTAGGTAACATGCGAGGGACGGGGAGGGAGGAGTGGTGGTGGTGTAGAAGA